AGGCAATAATGATGATTCAACCAAAGGGCCCATAGACTTCCCAGCCTCCACTGGCTGGAAGCAGGAAATAATTGGGAAAAATATTAGGGGGTGTTTGTTTGCATGCAAGTGAAAGATGAAAGTGAGAAAGTTACTTTCAATTAACAATTAAGGTGTTTGTTTTTATGTAAATGGTTATGAAAGTGAGATGCAAGAAAGTTACCACATATGATTTAATACAATTTTGACTTCTCCTAAAAAAATGGTGAAGTCATCTTAATTATAATGTAACTAATTTAATTAAATAATTTTAATTATACTCTCTAATTAATCTTATTTTGCCACGTCCTCTTCACATTGTACTTTCGATAATAATTTAATTTTTCAAACAAACACTGTATTTCAGTTACGTTCTGACACGGATGTAAAAGTTATTTGCAAAAAAAAAAAGTAATTTACATATTTTAAATTCACTTTCAGATTGCCAAACACCCTCTCGTCAATCCGTGTCTACGATTATTTTTATTAAGAAATGGAGTGATAAGGTTCAACAAAATCTTACTGTTAGTCGTTGCAATCCCTAGTAAAAATAAAAAAATATAGCTATAACTAGATCGCATATAATTAGTCAATTGATTCGGAATTTTTGTAAGAGTGGTGTTAGGGGCACACCCCCTACCACACCACCAACCACAACCCCCTCTCTCATCGCTACAGTAAACCAGGCCTCACATGAGATTTTAAAAATTTTAAAATCCCATGTGAGGCCCGGTTTACTGTAACGATGGGAGAGGGTGCTATGGTTGGTGGTGTATCAGGGGGTGTGCCCCTAACATTATTTTTTTTTAAATACCCTTCCAAAGTGAGATCGGAACAGCACAATCCAATATTTTAACCCACGGTAACTGAACATAGACTACATCACATCAACCAGCATTTTTCCCAACAACGCGTGGAGTCGAGAAAGGTAAGCTAATGCATCTCGAGATCACCAACCCACGATCTCATGCTGACTTATCCATCACTTATTGGCCTCATCACACGTAGGGCTGCGTAATCGGCCTATCGGTTTCTTCGGTTTAGATCGGTTTGTTCGGTTTTCACTTAGCTATAAATGTTATATCAAAATTTAATTTTACCTCTAATCTGTTGATGAATAAAGAAGTCTCTTACATTTCAATTTATTAAAATTCATAAACTATTATATGCTACTGAATATTAGATGTAGAAATCAAAATCTTATTCCTACTAAAGATTACATAAATTTTTTTAGAGAACTTACATAAAGAACTAAAGTGATCTCAATATGATAGACAAAGTAAATAAAAAAATATGTAAATAACTTGGATGTTGGGCAGGGGCGGCCCCGAGGTTTGGGTTGCCCTAGCCCAATCCAATTTTGGTTGCCCCTTATATTAAAAATTTGTTACGAACAATAACGATAAAAATGAATACATATAATACCATTTAGCATTCTATATTGGGCTCAAACTGATAATATTCTCTTGCAAAATCAATATTCATATAAGAAAAAATTATAGTTGTGCTACAATTTAATTCAAAGAAAAACACTTCTCCTTGAATTTTTTGAAGCGAATTCTTTAATTAAGTCATCATACTCGAGTTTCTCGAAGTATTCATTTTCAATTGATATCATTGCCAATCCATTCAATCAATCTTGTGACATGGTAGTGTGAAGATAACATATATGAAATCACAACAATAAACTAAACTGATGCCGAAACAAAGACTTAGTAATATCATTATTATTAAAACAATCAAACAATTAATCTAGATAGCAATCCAATAATATGAATGCCATCAAATCAAAGTTAAATTGAGATTATAATTAAAACCAAATAGAAATATATCAGATTATCGTCCATTAGGATTTTCGAGTTTTAGATGACTAGAAGACATATTTTAAATTCACTTTCAGATTGCCAAACACCCTCTCGTCAATCCGTGTCTACGATTATTTTTATTAAGAAATGGAGTGATAAGGTTCAACAAAATCTTACTGTTAGTCGTTGCAATCCCTAGTAAAAATAAAAAAATATAGCTATAACTAGATCGCATATAATTAGTCAATTGATTCGGAATTTTTGTAAGAGTGGTGTTAGGGGCACCCCCCCTACCACACCACCAACCACAACCCCCTCTCTCATCGCTACAGTAAACCAGGCCTCACATGAGATTTTAAAAATTTTAAAATCCCATGTGAGGCCCGGTTTACTGTAACGATGGGAGAGGGTGCTATGGTTGGTGGTGTATCAGGGGGTGTGCCCCTAACATTATTTTTTTTTAAATACCCTTCCAAAGTGAGATCGGAACAGCACAATCCAATATTTTAACCCACGGTAACTGAACATAGACTACATCACATCAACCAGCATTTTTCCCAACAACGCGTGGAGTCGAGAAAGGTAAGCTAATGCATCTCGAGATCACCAACCCACGATCTCATGCTGACTTATCCATCACTTATTGGCCTCATCACACGTAGGGCTGCGTAATCGGCCTATCGGTTTCTTCGGTTTAGATCGGTTTGTTCGGTTTTCACTTAGCTATAAATGTTATATCAAAATTTAATTTTACCTCTAATCTGTTGATGAATAAAGAAGTCTCTTACATTTCAATTTATTAAAATTCATAAACTATTATATGCTACTGAATATTAGATGTAGAAATCAAAATCTTATTCCTACTAAAGATTACATAAATTTTTTTAGAGAACTTACATAAAGAACTAAAGTGATCTCAATATGATAGACAAAGTAAATAAAAAAATATGTAAATAACTTGGATGTTGGGCAGGGGCGGCCCCGAGGTTTGGGTTGCCCTAGCCCAATCCAATTTTGGTTGCCCCTTATATTAAAAATTTGTTACGAACAATAACGATAAAAATGAATACATATAATACCATTTAGCATTCTATATTGGGCTCAAACTGATAATATTCTCTTGCAAAATCAATATTCATATAAGAAAAAATTATAGTTGTGCTACAATTTAATTCAAAGAAAAACACTTCTCCTTGAATTTTTTGAAGCGAATTCTTTAATTAAGTCATCATACTCGAGTTTCTCGAAGTATTCATTTTCAATTGATATCATTGCCAATCCATTCAATCAATCTTGTGACATGGTAGTGTGAAGATAACATATATGAAATCACAACAATAAACTAAACTGATGCCGAAACAAAGACTTAGTAATATCATTATTATTAAAACAATCAAACAATTAATCTAGATAGCAATCCAATAATATGAATGCCATCAAATCAAAGTTAAATTGAGATTATAATTAAAACCAAATAGAAATATATCAGATTATCGTCCATTAGGATTTTCGAGTTTTAGATGACTAAAGGGAGATGAACTTTTTAACAATTAAACAGTATTACCTCTTTCTATCTTTCAACTTTGATAAGCTTCTTTTAAACTTATGGAGACCGTGAGAAACTAGTCAGAATGCATAACTGTGCCACCCAAATAGCTAAATCAAATCTAATTCACAGTTTCAAAACAAAAACGTAGACGAAACCGCCCAAACATCATAACCCATAATTCAACAACTAATATTCAGCCAAGATTCAAAATCAGAAATCTTAATTTCATTGCAAAACATCAAAACCCCAAATTTTCGTCCAAAAAAACCCTAAAATTATTTATTTAAAAAATTACCTGATTATGTTTCTTTGATGGACCGATCGGCCGTCGACGTCAATAAGTCGATTCAGATTCTCTCAGTCTTTTGGGTGACTGGATCGGACTGTCGGAGGAGGAGTCGGCGGGGTGGTCCGAATGATGGGAGCAGAGTCAGGAAGGAGGAGTTGGAGGCTGACGGAACAGAGAAGGCGAAATAGAGCGGTGTCTCCGTCGATTCAGATTCTCTCCGTTTTTTTTTTCTTTTTTTGTGAGCGGCGGAACATAGACGAGAAGGAGGAGAGGAGGCTGACGGAAATAAAGAAGGAGTTGGGTAGGGCTTTGGGTATTAATAAGAGTTTTTACTAATAGAACCCCTAACAATTTTTGCATAAAAGTCCTCTTACAAAGTCCACTTCGAAAATTATTACGGCTTGAGGGGTGAAGGATGTAATCGCAATGGTTGCCCTCGGCCCTGGGTTGCCCTAGCCCCGGGGCTTGGTGGGCTTACCCCAGGGCCGACCCTGATGTTGGGTATAGTTTCTATAAAATTATAAGTCTGATCCAAAGAGAAGTCTGATCCAAAAATGTATCAAACGAGGAGAAAAATCAAAAAAATGTTAGAATCAATATTATGGTTTAAGTTTCTTACATCCAAAGTGGCTTGGTACAAAATAGAAGAAGCGAATATGTAATAGAGAGGGATAGAGAACTAGAGATAATGAAAAGCTCTAGAATTGAAGAGGACACTATTGTTGGGATATTTTATCGCTATCAAGTTGCATGAGAAAAAATTATATCAAGCTGCAAAAGAGTAACTCAATATTAATTATAATGGGTCGGGTTTAAACGGATGTAAATAATATTAGAATGGGTAATACAATTCGGTCGGTTCGGTGGGTTCGAGTTGAAAAAACTTCAACCCGACCCGAACTCTAATAAAAACCGAACCGCATTGTTACATTTCAACTGATTCGATTGGTTTGTTCGGTTTGAACTGAACTATGCTCACCCATAATCATATGCCTTCAAATATTAAGTACTTACCAAGTAACAACAGAACGACGTAAAATACTCAATAGTAATTGTCACTAACAACCCATTATTAAAAAAAAAAAAGGTATACACTGAAGCGCAACAGGAAAAGTAAGAATCTTTCACTTCAAAAATGCTTTTCATTCCTACTAGATTCCATGCTCAAAAGCATTAAAGTTCCTAATCTTAACTTTGCAATACAAAAGTTGATGCAAATCTTCGAAAAGAGGCGCTCATGGCCTTTAACAAGCTCAAAAGATGAAGTTATACAAAGGCAACCAACAAAATTAGTTTTATATTAAGCAATAATGGACTCCCGAGGCATAAAGACAACAAAAAAACCAAATTAAAATGCTGTCACCATCTTGGTAGCGCATTTAGAGCTAATCATGAAGCTTGAGTTCCCATCCAGAGTACTGCGACCCAAAATACGCATAAAATAATAGTAGTTAGGAAAATGATGGGTGCCCATACATTAAAGATCCTCAGAATATGGGGGCACAAGTAGATTAGCATTACACCAAACTAAGCTAAAATATTACATATGCCAATAGTATAGGTCCATAAAATACTTAAAAGAGTAATCTAAGAAAACTTATAAACCAGAAGTTCCCTAAAAAAATTCTCAAGGGAAGCCTTTAGATGATGCCGATTTTGTTGGCAACATCAAGAGCATCATAATCCGGTGTCAGCCTCACATAAGCCTTCTTCGTTCCATCAGGCCTGCATCAAGGGAAAAAAGCATCAGAAACCGAATACAACAACAGAGCTTTTAAATGTTTCAGAAACCGAATACAACAACAGAGCTTTTAAATGTTTAGCGTCGGCTACATGAATCATATTCTTCCATTCAGTCTGTCTAGGATTTACCTACTCTGTCAAGTTACCCACCATCACATCCTTATCAATTGCATCCAAACAGATTCTCTTATGTCTTCTCTACTTCCTCTTTGCTCCCTTAAGTATAAGGTTAATTGCAAAAAGACCCCCATAATATCACACTCTGGAACTTAATAACCCCTGCAGTTTTCTTTTGGCATATAGACCCGTACATGGAATTTTTTTCCTCTTTTACCATCAGATAGATTCACTAATTTCACCCCGGTTATTCTTCTTTCGATCATTGGCTAAACCTAAATTTTGTACCGTATCAGGCCGTCCTATTAGTACGTCGAACTGGGCCGATTTATCAGATTCTAATATTCTTGACTGATTCGGTCGAATATGTAGAACAATCAATAGTTATTAATTATTATTTGTAATTTCTGACCAATAAAAAACTTGAATCCTTTATATCAAAAAACAAAGGGGTAATATCTGCCAAAATTTCACCCAGGGTAAAACAAAACACAGGGTAAAAAGGTCAAACAAAATTTCACCCAGGGGGGTCTATCTACCAAAATCAAATTGCAGGGGTCATAAGTTCCGAAGTGTGATACTAGATAGGGTCTGTGTAATTATCCATTAATTATAATCATATCAGTTATCACCTTTCCTAATTGGTCTAGTGGCCATACCAAATGAATATTTCAATTCCAGGAGGAAGGACATAAAGTGCTGATGAATAAAAATTCACTGACCTGATCAGAGTGTTAACCTTCCTAGTCTGGATATCATACATTTTCTTCACCGCCGCTTTGATCTTTTTCTTGTCTGCCCTGATGTCCACTATGAAGACAAGTGTGTTGTTGTCTTCAATTTTTTTCATGGCAGATTCCGTTGTCAAAGGATATTTGAGAATCTGATAGTGATCAAGCTTGTTTCTGGGGGTTGCGCTGATTCTGGGATACTTAGGGTTTCTATCCTTCTTCAGAGTCTTAGGACGATGAAAAGTAACAGAAGTACGAATCTTCTTGACCTTCTTCTTAATGGTTGAAGCCCCTGATTTGACAGCCTTGGCAACCTTCAAGGCCTGTGTCTTGCCATCAGCTTTCTTTGCGGTAGCTGCAGCCAGAGAGTTAAAGAAGCATGATGACAAAAGCTACAGAAACTCTAACAACACACTACTTTAAACCATAATTGGAAATCAGAAGAGGAGGCCAGAAACAGAATATGCTGGGTATAACTATCAATAAATGTAGTCACAGTATCCTAGATAGATCCTACACAGTAAAAATAAGACATTTTCCATCTGAATTCAAAAGAAAATTTTTACCAAAGAGGTACAACTATGTGCATTTTTTTCTTAAGGGAGCAAACCATGAAGAAAAATAAATCACTATTTTGGAATAATACAACAATAATAGAATAATATATGATATATCTGGCAAGTGGTGATTAAGAAAACGTTATTTTTCTTCAAGGCAATATCACTTCAAGAAAAACTCATGTCATAACAAAACCATCCAACATTTTGTTTTCTTCATTGAGCAAGAACATTAAAATTTAAACTTTCATATCCTTCTCATGTCAAAAGTATATTGTTTGTACAGTCGGCAATATACTATACACTTTTGTGATTAATCTGCTTCCAAATGCACTTAGCATAGTACTCCTCCATGTTGATATCAAAAATTGAACTCAATTTTGACTAAAGTATTTTGACAAAGATGTAATTAGCCAAAAAATATTTTTTTTCTTGAATCCATGTCTTTCATCTATAATAATAATGAGAAATTTTCAAAATAGACCCTTTTACAATTTTATTCTCCAAAATCGACTCATTTCAAATTTATTTACAAAAATCGACCTAATTTCGATCACATTAGTAGCGCAAGCTGAAATAGGGTCGATTTTAAAAAATCGCTTCTTAGAAAGTAAACTTTTGACTTAGTTAAAACCGGGTCGATTTTTGCGAATATGTTTGAAATGGGTCGATTTTGGTGAATAAAATTATAAATAGGTCAGTTTTGAAAATTTCTCCATAATAATACATGTCCACTACCAGAATGAAACAAGACCCTTGTTCTACAATGCAATAAGTTTTTTTTTTCCTTTTTAACTTTTTTAACAAGTAGCCTATGTTACAGCTCGGACCTCCCGCAACCCAACCTCACTGCACTAGTGCATAACCAAGCTTTAATGACAAAGAAGAGTAGTTCTGGGTTTCAATGATCCTAATAATAAAATATTTATTCAATTCTTTAAGGCAATTACCATGCCTTGGGCAATGCGATTTTATATACACTATACGAACAACTTCAAAAAACAACAATACATACACTAATCAAGGTTGTTGATAGCGGATCGCGACGCGTCGCGGCGTGGTACCGCTTAGGCTATTTCGGGCTATTGCGGCAAAATAGCGGCAAATAGCACACAGTCAAATAGCGGTCAAATATAAATATATTTAAATATTCTAAATAATAAGAAAAATCATGGGCAAAAAACTTTCTCTGTTTTGCATGAAAGAAAGAATTGCAAATCCTGTGCTATGACCTCTCCAGCAAGATTGAACTATGGGGAGAAAACTCTCATGCTCAACCCACATAGATAAAAATTCTAAATGGCATTCCTATTGACATCCTCTTTAATTAAACTAACCAGTTAATTGATAAGCTTCTTGTATAAATGAACTATGAAGAAATTCAAGAAACTGTCACCGGAGGGAAGCTCGTCGGAGACTCGGAAGTCATCGCTGGAACCGTGCAAGTCACTAGGAGCTGGGGCTGGAGCGGAAGTAGCTGGAGCTGGAGCGGAAGTTGCTAGAGAGAAGCAATCGGGAGGCGCTGGAGCGGAGACTCGGAGAGAAGGAATCGTTGTGGGAATCGTCGTGGAATCGTCGTGGAATCATCGTGGAAAGAAGGAATCGTCGTGGAATCGGAGAGAGAGAGGCGGAAGTCGCTGGAGCAATCGGGAGGCGGCTAGGGTTCGGGAGTGGGAGAGAAGGAATCGTCCCGGGAAAGGGTTTAATTGTAATGAGTCGGGTTCGGGTCAGGTTCGAACCGAAAAACTTCATATATGTGCGATAACGGTTTAGCGGGTTTAGCGGGTTTAGCGGCTTTAACCGCTTTTACACGCTATTCGAATGAATAGCGGATTTTCCTGCTTAAGCCAGCCGCAAAACCCCTATGCATACCCCTATGCATAGGGCTGAAGGGCCGCGACCGCTATTCGCGCCGCTATGGCCCGGCTATTTACAACACTGACACTAATATTCTAGATATTCGTATGAACCTTCAACTTGCCATTCTTTTAAGTAATTTATGAAACAACTCACCTATTTACAATTATCGTGGATCTCTTTTTTTTTGACTTTATAACAATGATGGTTATTTAGAAGTTGTAGTGTTTTCTCTTCTATCTCATAGAATCCCCGGTTCTAAACAATAATAATTTTCACTATGATTGTAATGTCTCAGAATATCACTGTGATTGTCATTTAGTAATAATTTAGTAATAAGAAAACATCAACACAACTCTAAGATAAAAAGACAAAATAAAGAGTGTAGGCATACCTTTAGCAGGTGGCGCCATCAGATTATCAACAACAGCTTCTGCTAATAAACCAGCTGCATATGAAATAGCAATAAGTCAGAAATGCAAGGCGCAAAACTAAAAAGATAAAAGTGCCACAAAAAGAAAAGATTCTAATAACTGTTGACCCAAAACACAGTCGGGAACGTTCAAGGGTGAGAAGAGGATAGTATTAAATTCTTTGGTTAGGTTTGGTCTGGGGTAAAAAAAAAACAGACTACAATTACCTGATTTCATGTGAAGTGACAGCTTGTGCAATAAAAAGGGCCAAATGCAAACTAGGTTGAGTAATAAACAATCATACCTAACCCAAAATCCTAATAGCTTGTTTTCTACACTACACAGAGAAAGAACATCTTAAAAGATATACCAACAAAAAGATGGAAAGTTCACAGGTGTTATTATCATTATATCATTCTTTAAGACGTGTCACCAATTTATCGGAACTACACCCCTTAAACATTCTATGTTTAGGTATTAAAAATATAGGCTGATCTAAAATGTGAATATTATATAACTTTTCAGATATATGTGTCAAATTTTTCTTATTCTATTATACCTTTAAAAAGATCATTAAGAAACTTATTTACTCTGAAGGCCATTGACTATGAGTACACATCCAAGTATAAACATGCTAAAACTTCAGTAATATTATTCATAGTTCCAGAAAGTGTTAAATACTATCCTTTAATGATCATTGAAACCCAACAGTTAACTCTGCTCCAAAATTCTAGAAATCAACCAAGTTTTTGAATCTATGCGCTAATTCTTTGAAACCAAAGTAGGACTGCTTGTTTTGGTCCATGGTGCAAATTTATGGGGTACATGCTTATAAAAAAAAGAGTTGAAATGAAGGGGTAAAAAGAGATTAGAACAAATAGGTGAAGAGTAAAAATGATTGGATATTCTCCACAATATCACATGGAAGACATGACAGGTGACTACACCATTGATCGGTTCACCGTGAAAATACCATCTGAGAAGTGAAGATCGGAGTTCCAGCACACTTTTGTCTCTCTGGGGAAGAACTACCATCCAAGCTCACATGAGGACTAAGTGAATGTTGAATCATAGCCTTTCAAGACTTTCCAGATTCACTAACACTCATCTAAGGCTAGAAATGCCAACAATTTCTATCCCCGAACTTTCAAGGTACTTAGAAAATACCAAGCAATCACTCTAAGACTAGTTTGGTTTACCACAGTCGAAAATCCAATAAACCAACATCCTGCAAATATCAATCTCATGCTAAAAATGGAAAATCACAGATAACCCGCTCATCTGTAGCGTTTATCACTCTCAGTAAATTTAGTTGAACTATCACTCTGATTCGCATTTTGAGAAGGATAAGTTGCATATAACCCCCTCTCTCTTCGTAAATGAGTTGAGGGGGTCTATCTGCAATGTATCCAAGTAATTGCTCTAATATATAAACACCCTAATCATGCAGAGCCAAACCAAGATATTTCTTTCAAATATTAATCCAAACTATTGCTCCATGGACATTTTCACAAAAATCATCCACTTGACATGAAAAATAATTGAAAGCAAAATCGCATCCTCGTCATAAACTCTTATCAAATCCTAACCCATACCAATGCAAGTAACACTAATTCGATCAAACAAATAAACAAACAGAGAACGCTATTGAAATCAAATCCTAGAGGGTTGAGACTTACGCTTTTGGATCGGATGCTCGCGGGCTCCCCTCGCTCCTCCTCGATCGGCCGCGGACTGAAAACCCTAGCTGCTCAAGGGTTTTAAAGAAATTCGATGAGGGTGCCGAAAATGGATCCTGGCCGTCTGATTCACGATTTAGGATTCTAATTTTTTAGTGGGCCGTTACTTTCTAGTTATTGTTAGGGCTCGATACTTGGGCTTCTTCCACGTAAACTAGCTTTATTTTTTAGAGACACCATGTAAAATATCTCCGATGTAAAAAAATTATTTTATTTTTATTTTTTTTATTGAATCTTGTTCTCGGTTTGTTTGGTTGAGAGGAGATAACGTTGCACCATTAAATCTGCACTCAATTGCATATTTAATATGATTGATTAATAATATTTAAATATCAATTGTAAATGTTGTCATACTTGGATAAATTGAAGAAAATATCCTCACACTAATAAACTTTGAGGAAATTGTCTCATACTTGGAACAAATTATAAATACCTCAAATTTGAAAAAAAAAATCAACGAAAATGCACTGAAATTTTTTTCTTTTTTTCTTTTTTTTCTTTCTTTTTTTTACGATTTTATTGTAATAATTCCCACGTTTGACGTAATGCACACACCGTGTGCACCAGAGCACTAGTAATTTTATAAGAAAGGAACTCATTGGCCTTAATAAACACCCTTAATAAAAACATTAAGGGATTATTATCATGTCATCTATCCATGCCATCAATGGTAGAGCCACATACAACAAAGTGAGGGCAAACACTCCACACTAAAATTATCTTGTTCTTGAGACCTAGTTTTGATACTGGTTTAATATTACCCCAGGCGTTAGCTGTTCTTGACGTACTGTCTCAATATTGCCCTCATTGTAAGTTATGGACCCAATTGTCCTAGCGGTCTTGGCTTCACCATTGCATGTCATCGTCAAATTAAGACTTGATCCATATTGTTGTCCGAAATTAATTAAGTAGTCTCACATTATCACATAACAGTTGACTTTTAAGAAAATGTATCTCTTATGTTTGCGAGATAATGAAATGTCAGGCCCTTAGTCAATGAGAAAAACATCAACATTGGTATTTTCTATTTTACTTCTTCTTGATGTGAGGAAAATGATAGATTGAGTCTGCAAAATTGAACTCGGTGTTGAGGGCCCCCTAATCTTCCTAGATATCTAGTGGTGATCTTCTTTTGAGATTACATAAGATACATAAGAAAAGCATCAGATCAACGATGGCGGGTTGTCAACCATCGCCACTCTACTGCCTAAGTAAGACTACTGATGATAAAAGTCAAAGCAATAGGGATTTAGGTTAGGGTCTTAAGAGGAGAATTTCATAGATCAACGTCAGCGGTTCCGATCCAAGGTCAAGATGAAGGATCCCTTTAAAACGAATGTCATTTAGGAAAATGACGACGTTAGGAAGATCACATCGTTCAGTGACTTAGTAGTATGACGATGATGATAGAAATGAAGGCACATCACTTGGTAGGCCTAAGTTAGGAAAACGAATATCATTTGGGGAAATGACGACGTTAGGAAGATCACATCGTTCAGTAACTTAGCAGTATGATGATGATGATGATGAAAACAAAAGCACATCACTTGGTAGGCCTAAGTTAGGAAAATAAATATCATTTGGGAAAATGGCGACGTTAGGAAGATCACATCGTTCAGTGACTTAGTAGTATGACGATGATGATAGAAACGAAGGCACATCACTTGGTAGGCCTAAGTTAGAAAAACGAACGTCATTTGGGGAATGATGATGTTAGGAAGATCACATCGTTCAGTGACTTAGCAGTATGATGATGCTGATGAAAACAAAGGCCTGAGTTTAGAGTGGCATATTTATACTGATTGCCTATGCATGTCAGGTGCTACAGTGCCACCATCCTAATAGCCTGCAAGTAAGTCAATGTGTCATAACCTCATTGGCCCAGGATGGTATAATCATGTAAGTTATGAAAGCAATCAGAGAGATTGGTTACCCAATTGATATCTCCTAGCATGATATGTTGAGGTTATGATACGATTTGGATTAATCATCTCCAAATAGGCTAACCACCATAAAACCAAGTATGGTTTGTAGGGTTGACAAATTGAAGTTTGATTGATTTCTTGTTTTAAGAAATGGATTCGATCACTTAGTACGAATCCCTTACAATCACTCACACTCTCTCTCGATTACAGAGGAAGAAAAGATTGATTTGACTTCTCTTTTGTTTAAAAGTGGGTTCTTGGTGGCGAAAGGATACTTCTCTCGATGCTCAAGCCGAGATTGCTTCCCGTTGACGATCAGAATAAGATCACACAAGCTTCCGACGGTCAGTCGATGATCTCCTTTTGCGCAATAGCGAAAGATCAAGGTTCCAAAGTCCAAAAGTCTCTCCCTGAATCCCTTCCTTCGTAGCCGCTCATGGCTATTTATAGGGTTTCAGCACGTAACCAACATGCTAAAATTGTAGGTAGAGGGCACAACTGTCTCCTTTAATTCAACCCACGTCGGTTAATGGGCCGAAACGTGCTCCTGAAGCATAGCACATGTTGCTGACTAGGTCTTCAAACTATTACAGCTGGATCTCTTGAGGACAACGAGCCTCACTACATTATGAGGTTCATCAGATAGAACGAGCCTCAATATGCAGCGAGGTTCGTCTTCTAAGGCCAACTTTGCAGTATAGCGAACTGTCTTCACTGACATCATCTGACGAGCTTCGTATTCACCAACGAACTTCGTCTTCGATAGCTGAGTCTAACTGTATAGCAAGTCTTGTGACTTTCCTTTTAACGAGCCTCATTTAAGCTTTAAATCTGGTGATAAGCTCCGAACCTTGTATCCAATGACGAACTCCAAGCTTTGCTTCCAATAACGAACCCTAAATCTCATATCCAACGACGAACCCTGAACCTCGTATCCAATGACGAACTTCAAACTTTGTATCCAACGGTAAACTTTGAACCTAGCTTCGCTGGGTGACGGGTCTCATCTTTGACCAAGACGAGCTTCGTTCCTATGACGACCCTCATCATATTTTGAAGTTCGGCATTTTTTAATGCCTACAAAACCCCCTTCAAAGTTTTCAGATTTGAATTGGGCTGTATGGAGTTTGAAACACTTAGAATCTTACTAGAATTCAGAATATTGTTTCTAAGCTTAACTGTGTTATGGATTGAAAATATTTCTTGAGATAGATATATGGGTAAGCTATACAGTCATTTCTTAGCTTTGTCGTTAAGAGCAAACATGATAAATCTAAACTTAATCGCATCCTTAGATAATTCTCTAATCTAAATCATAAGACAAACTTTCTCAAACTTGAATATAAAAATGTAAGCGTTTTGGAGTCATTTCTAAGAATTTCAGGAGCATGTTTATGAAGTACAGTTTGAGCTCAAAATTATCTCTATTGATATCAGAAAGCCTGATACAAGACGGGATTATGTTCCCAGTGGGATAACATATGTCTTGAAGAATAAGTAGATTAGGATTTGTCATTTCTTTAGTTTCAAAAATTAGTTCAACATAGATTAATTGATTGGTGTTATCACTAATCCAAACTTATATACACCAAAACAAATTCTTTTTAAATTTTTTTAACAAACAAGAAAATTAGGGAAAATCTAAAAATGAAGGTTAGTTAATTTTTTTGGAAAAAAACTAAAAGACCTAAAAGATAAATAAGATGAAAGATAAAAGAAAAACTTAACTAAACAAATCAAGAGCAACCACTTCAAAATAAGGACCTTTAATTCTAGAGTTAAGCCTAAACTCAACTGTACCAACTCCTAGCCAAAAACTCCTTGAGTGAAAAAATTTAAAATTTACTTGGTCAGTTAGCTAGGTAAGGATAGTACTAGAGGGAGACCAATGATCAATTAAGTAACTCTTTTCGTACGAAGCACTTTACGTAATCCTTGTACGTTGCCTTAGACACCAACAGATTTAAGTAAGTTTAAATCGGTTCACTTAAGGATTTCTTGTTCATTAATGAGCTCGAGTCCTTACGGACTAACGTCTAATAAGTTTTAAACGGCTTGAGTTTGTATAGTGAGAAATCAGTGATTTATAGGCTAAGAAAAAGGTGATAAAAATCCTCACCTTATATTGATCAAGGGGTATTTCCCTTAAGAGTATTTTTAAGTGAATGCTCAAATCATTTTAGTGAATTTCTACTAACTATATACAATGCAGTCCTAAATATTAAAAGCAACTACAAAAGGATGCAATTTTTTTTAACTAGGGTTAACAATCAAACAAATGTGAGAAAGAGAACTATTGCTTGAATTTATTATTTTATTGGTAGTTGTTCAACTGAAGGGTGAATTTTATTAGGGTCGACAAGAGAAAGTTTTTAGTTTTCATTTAGTTTCTTATTGTCTCTCTTTATGTCAAAAACTTAATTATGTTGGACAGGGTGGATTTGGGATAGCTTGAGGTCCCTTGATCCTCTTTGATGGTTGATCGCTCCGAGGGAAAGAAGATTCCTACACAAATGAGAATGTTAGAGGGTCGGAGTTGGATTCTCCAGTGGTTCCTCTGATGATTAAGTTAGTGATGATCTTAAGGGAGAGAAATATGTGAAAGAATATGTTTTTAGGTTTTCTATCATAGAGAACAGTGTACCTTCATATAGAAGACAATCTGCATAAGCATGGTCTATGTAGTCGGCTTAGTCAACCACCACTTTACACACATCAGCAGTTGGTGGTCCGAGTCATCCTTACATTTAATGAGACAGTGGCAGAATGACTAAGATGCTGGCAAAGTCCGAGGAGTCATTATGACTTTGGCAGGGGAGTAATGATGGCTCTGGCCATGCATTTAATGCGACGGTGACTAGCTGAAGTTGCTGGGGAAGACAAAGTAGACAGGTTCCCCCGTAGTTCAAGATGCCTTGCTAGGTCTGAGTGGAGATGTCTTTCATCTCAGTTCTTCAAGAGAGTCAGAGTAAGGATGCCTTTCATCTCGAACTTTTGAGAGAGTCAGTGTGAGGAAGCCTTTAATCTCAAGCTTTCTAGAGAAAGCCCAAGTGAGGAAGCCTTTCATCTTAAGTCTCAAAGTTGCCTAGTCGAGACACGTGTTGTCCTCTCAAGAGTAGTTTATACTT